CTGCTTTTGTGGTAAAAAGTATACAGTGTTTTCAATATGTCATAGTGTTTCCCTCTGCATGGCCTCTAAACCTGTCCCTGCTCTTTCTGCTCAGTATGTAGGATGTGTAGTTACTCCTTTAGTAATTGCTGATACTGTACTAAATGAAGCCCATTATCACCGGTGGAGGTCAGAGTCACTGAACTGGAGATGTGTCCATAGTGAATTGTGTTCCAGGGGCCAGAGCAGCAATGAAGATGAAGGCAAATTACAGAAAATCATCATTCAAGCAGTAGTGACACATGGTTCCATCAATCTGAGTTCACTAACATGAATACTGAATCGTGTGTAACCTTTCCGGAAACAATGTCAGACTTTTCTATCGCTGCATGTTCTCCTTAAGTTGCTGGTTGTCTGGCTTTATAGATTATTGATGTTAGGAGAAAGGAATCCATTGCACTATGAATGGTGCAGCTCTTGTTTCTGGCCAGATTTATTAAATTACCCAAAATGACTATCCAGAGTTGGGACCTGGAAGCAGCACCATAGATTAACTCCTGTTATTTCCCCTAAACCCCATTCCACATAGAGACTGTGTCTGTCCTAGACCACCAAAGAAAATCATCAAGAAATGCTTTAAAATTAAAAATTACAAAGAAAGAACAATCTAGTATCATCAAGTGCACCAAAGGGTAAAACAGCAAACTGTGGATTATTAACCATTAGGTCTCTTTTTGTACATGAATTAATAATCGATTAACATATTGATTTACTCTGCTTTACAGAAACCTGGTTAGAGCAAAATGATTATGTTAGTTTACATGAATAAACACTCCTGAGTCATAGTAACTATCAGAATCCCTGAGGCACAGGCCGAGGAGAGGGTGTGGCAGCAATTTTTCACTGCACCTTCTTATTCAACCAAAAACCCAGACAGAGATTTAATTCATTTGAAACCCTGATGCTTAGCCTCGCCCACCCTAGCTGTAAAAGTCAAACAGTTTTATTCTGTTGCCCACCTGAGTTTCTGTCTGATTTCTCAGACTTTTATCTGATTTAGTGCTCGGCTCAGATAATTGTGGGTGATTTTAACATCCATCTAGATGTTAAAAATGACAGCCTCAATAATAATAATAATAATAATACATTTTATTTGAAAGTGCCTTTCAAAACACTCAAGGACACTGTACACAGCAGAATAATAAAAGCAGCATAAAAGCAAGCAGTTTACATAATCATACAAGCATAAGACATAAAACAAATATACAGTGGTTGCAAAATTATTCGACCCCCTCGAACTTTCCCACATTTTGTCACATTACAGCCACAAACATGAATCAATTTTATTGGAATTCCACGTGAAAGACCAACACAAAGTGGTGCACACGTGAGAAGTGGAACGAAAATCAACATGATTCCAAACATTTTTACAAATAAATAACTGCAAAGTGGGGTGTGCGTAATTATTCAGCCCCTGAGTCAATACTTTGTAGAACCACCTTTTGCTGCAGTTCCAGCTGCCAGTCTTTTAGGGTCTGTCTCTACCAGCTTTGCACATCTACAGACTGAAATCTTTGCCCATTCTTCTTTGAAACAGCTCCAGCTCAGTCAGATTAGATGGCAGCGTTTGTGAACAGCAGTTTTCAGATCTTGCCACAGATTCTGGATTGGATTTAGATCTGGACTTTGACTGGGCCTTCTAACACATGGATATGTTTTGTTTTAAACCATCCATTGTTGCCCTGGCTTTATGTTTAGGGTCGTTGTCCTGCTGGAAGGCTGAACCTCCGCCCCAGTCTCAAGTCTTTTGCAGACTCCAAGAGGTTTTCTTCCAAGTTGCCCTGTATTTGGCTCCATCCATCTTCCCATCAACTCTGACCAGCTTCCCTGTCCCTGCTGAAGAGAAGCCCCCCAGAGCATGATGCTGCCACCACCATATCTGACAGTGGGGATGGTGTGTTCAGAGTGATGTGCAGTGTTAGTTTTCCCACACATAGCGTTTTGCATTTTGGTCTCATCTGACCAGAGCAGCTTCTTCCACATGTTTGCTGTGTCCCCACATGGCTTGTGGCAAACTGCAAACGGGACTTCTTTGGTTTTCTGTTAACAATGGCTTTCTTCTTGCCACTCTTCCATAAAGGCCAACTTTGTGCAGTGCACGACTAATAGTTGTCCTATGGACAGATTCCCCCACCTGAGCTGTAGATCTCTGCAGCTCGTCCAGAGTCACCATGGGCCTCTTGGCTGCATTTCTGATCAGCGCTCTCCTTGTTCGGCCTGTGAGTTTAGGTGGACGGCCTTGTCTTGGTAGGTTTACAGTTGTGCCATACTCCTTCCATTTCTGAATGATGGCTTGAACAGTGCTCCGTGGGATGTTCAAGGCTTGGGAAATCTTTTTGTAGCCTAAGCCTGCTTTAAATGTCTCAATAACTTTATCCCTGACCTGTCTGCTGTGTTCTTTGGACTTCATGGTGTTGTTGCTCCCAATATTCTCTTAGACAACCTCTGAGGCCATCACAGAGCAGCTGTATCTGTACTGACATTAGATTCACACAGGTGCACTCTATTTAGTCATTAGCACTCATCAGGCAACGTCTATGTGCAACTGACTGCACTCAGACCAAAGGGGGCTGAATAATTACGCACACCCCACTTTGCAGTTATTTATTTGTAAAAATGTTTGGAGTCATGTCTGATTTTCGTTCCACTTCTCACGTGTGCACCACTTTGTGTTGGTCTTTCATGTGGAATTCCAATAAATTGATTCATGTTTGTGGCTGTAATGTGACAAAATGTGGGAAAGTTCAAGGGGGCCGAATACTTTTGCAAGCCACTGTAAATAGCAGAGTGGAGAGGTTATGTGGGATAAGCTGTTATGAACAAGTGAGTTTTGAGTTGGGACTTAAAGAGAGAGAAGGAAGAGAGTTTCTTAAATCAGGAGGTCGGGAATTCCAGAGTTGAGGAGCTGAGCAGGCGAAAGCCCTTCTCCCCATGGTGGCAAGATGAAGAGAGGGGACAGAGAGAGAAAGAGAAGAAGAAGATCTGAGACACAGAGATGGGGCGGTGATCTGAACCAGAACAGAGAGATATGGAGGGGAGAGATGATGAATAGCCTTAAATGTGTACAACTACTGTGTACAAGTACTGTCGAGGATGACACCCAGAGTTTTCACAGAGGAAGAAACGGAGACCGGCGAGTTATTGATAGTAACAGAGAAACTGTTGGTTCTGGATAATGCTGATTTAGTCAACAAAGCATTTAATCTGTTATTAGACTCAACTGGCTTCTCTCAAAATGTTGCAATTTGGAGCTTTACAATAAGCTATATAAATAAAACTGAATTGAATCAAATTCTCTCAAATCGGTATGTACCACAGGCCTTCAAGCTGGCTGTAGTTAAACCTTTACTCAAAAAGCATCTCTAGACCCAGCAGTCTTAGCTAATTATAGGCCAATCTCCAACCTTCCTTTATATCAAACATCCTTGAAAGAGTAGTTGTCAAACAGCTAACAGATCATCTGCAGAGGTTTATTTGAAGAGTTTCAGTCAGGTTTCAGAGCTCAGCACAGCACAGAAACAGCTTTAGTGAAGGTTACAAATGATCTTCTTATGGCCTCTGACAGTGGACTCATCTCTGTGCTTGTCCTGCTAGACCTCAGTGCAGCGTTCGATACTGTCGACCATAATATCCTATTAGAGCGATTAGAACATGCTGTAGGTATTACAGGTACTGCGCTGCAGTGGTTTGTATCATATCTATCTAATAGACTCCAGTTTGTGCATGTAAATGGAGAGTCCTCTTCACACACTGAGGTTAATTATGGAGTTCCACAGGGTTCAGTGCTAGGACCAATTCTGTTTACATTATACATGCTTCCCTTAGGCAGCATCATTAGAAGACATAGCATACATTTACACTGCTATGCTGATGACACCCAGCTCTATCTGTCCATGAAGCCAGATAACACACACCAATTAGTTAAACTGCAGGAATGTCTTAAAGACATAACGTGCAGAGTCGTTTCTGACCAGGATATGTCCCTGAATATGCATAATAAACAAATGTGCAGAATGCTTACTTTCACTTGCGCAGTAGCAGTTCCTAAATGCTGCCCCAAGAATATTGACTAGGGCTAGAAATAGAGCATATACTTCTCCTATACTGGCTTGTCCTATTTGGTTTTCTGCTAAAACCAGAATATAATTTAAAATCCTTCTCATCACATAAGAAGGTCTCACTTTTAATCACATTTATAATCACATAAGGCTGGATGTTTAGACCTTTTACTCTCTCAGCTGTGTTAACACAGACCTGCCAGTTTCTTGAACTGGTTGTGATCAATTAATAATGTGCACGTTTTCCTACGTTTTCCCTCAACTTTAACTTTATAATAATAAGCTTTGATACAGCACTCTGTAGACAGCCAAAATTTTCAGCAACGACCTTCTGTGGATTACCATACCTGTGAAGGGTATTAACGATGATCATTTTGACAACTGTCAATATTCAGTGTTCATGTCTGTGAAGGTTGTCAGTCATCCAGGTCATCGTAGTCTAAGGAGCTTGGAAAGAAAAGCGTCTGGACTAGAACTAGAACTGAAGAAGCTTCTCGGATGAGAGGTGAAACATCTTCAAGCCACTTAAAGAAGTCCAGACACTTTTCTTTCCAAGCTCCTTAGATTCAGTACTCATAATCTTCAAATATTTTGAGATACATTAGTATATTCAAGTGTCTGTAAGTTTGTGACAGATGGAGCAAAAGAGCAAGCAAACCAGTGTGTGAAAGTGTGTAATATGATGAGGCTCCTTTTTCGTCAGCGCTAAATTGGGACAAGTGATCTAAGTAGAGCACTATCCCCCTGTGGAGCTCTGGCAGTCACTGAGCTTCAGTGTCTGCACAAAGCTTTACTCGAGCAATTGTGCAATTGTTGTCCACCTTTTAGTCTTCTTTCTGAGCTGAAGATGCTGAGACCTACTGACTCCCCTGAGCTTATGTATTATTTAAACTGTCTGCACAGGGAACCCAGGAAGGTCGTGCTCCACAAGAGTACCACGGGCTTGGGCTTCAACATCGTAGGTGGTGAAGATGGTGAGGGCATCTTTGTCTCCTTCATCCTTGCGGGAGGACCCGCTGACTTGAGTGGAGAACTGAGGCGAGGTGACCAGATTTTATCAGTGAGTATGCAAGAGCCACTATATCCACAGAGATTTACACATAGTAATGTTTCAAAATATGTTTAAGTTTTACCGAAATTATTGATGTAGAAATTCTGATGTCACCTGCGGTTTAATTCATTATGAAAAACCTTCACAGCTCAATAGCAGCCCTATTTGAGGGTCTTTACAGTATAAAGCATCCTGAGGCAGCTGTATTCAGTTTTTTATAGACTGAATTGAACTGAATATGCAAACTGCTTACAAACAAATCTGAATAAATAAGCTGTTTTTTTTTGTTGCAGTCTGAATCTCTTTGTAATGCTCTGCACAAGTACAGGCTGACTTTTGTTAAATGTGTGTGTTCCAAGGACAATGATAAAGTGTGCAATAGTTCAGATGGCCTAGATTTACTTTCAAAGCAAATGGATGGTGGGTTTTTTCTTCTGCAGTATTGCTCCAGTATGATAACAGATAGGTGCTGTGTGTCATAGTTTATTAGCAGGTTATTTTTTAAATTAAATCTATTAAATATGTGCATTTGTAATTGAGAGCTATAAATACAAAACTAGTGTTTTTCATCTTTATTGCTTTAATTGTTAAAATAATTAATAATTAATGACGAAACAGAAATTTCCTTCATTGCCAGCGAAAGCTAGGAAAGGGACAGTAAAGGACTGCTAATTTGTCTAATATTAAGAAAACACCCAGCAGAACCTCTCACAGATAATTAGGCTATTCGGCAGCATGGGAGGATTAGGGGTAAAAAAATAGCATTACATAGAGGCTAAGCCTTTCAGAAAGAAAGAAGGAGAAGGGGTTAAGATTGTGTCTGCAAGTTATTTTAAAACATTGTTTTTAAATCTAAATTTGCAAAGAATGCAGAGATTTAATCAAATAAACATGTATAACCATCTAGTCACGGCATGTCTCTGAAAACTACTGTCAGGAAAGAGCCATTTGATGCATCTGCAATAAAAAAAAACTGCCATCCAAAATAAAAATAAAACTTCTAAAGGGTCTTATCCTATTTGTAGACTAAGATGACTTGCAAAGACTGAGTTGTAGTTTGACTGTTCAAATTTTTTAATTCTTTGTGGAAATGATTAAACCTGTGTTTTCTGAGCTAACAAGGAAGGGAAACATCCAGCTGTGCAAAAAACTTGCACATCTGTGAAGATACTTTTTATATTAAACATGTTGAACATGTGCTGCCATCCAGACAATCTCCTTTACAAAAAGCTCTGCTAAACCAACAGCATGGCTGCTTTAAAACCCAGAGTCCATTCCCATCGGTCAATAGTCCCGATCTGTCACGTTAGTGGTGGATCATGATTAAACTTCTAAACAAAAGGAAGCAGATGCAGCTTGGCAGCTGAAATCAAATAAGAATGGAAAACATCTCTTTTAAAACTACAGCGATTTAAAAAATAAGTATTTAGTAGTGCTGTCAAAATTAACGCGTTAACGCAAATTAATCTGCCATCATGGTCAACGCGATTAAAATTTTTAACGCAATTAACACATCTGGAGTACAGAATGACTCAAAATCCCTAAAATGTTTCTGTTAACTCATTTCGGGCAGTTTGGCCAAGCAGAGTTACCTTCGCACATGCGCAAATGGGCAGTTGATCTGGTAGTGACGGGCAGCTGAACCAATCAACTCAATATGGAAGATGATAAACGCACATCGGCCCTCTCGACGGGAAATTTGAGTATTAAAAAAACAAGAAGACGGAACAGTCGACCAACATAAAGTCTCATGGACGTTGTGCAAGAAGGAATTTTCACCGAAGCGCTTCCAGCTTAAAATATCACATTGACGCGAAGCATACGTTAGCCAGGATGCTGCTAGCACTTTAGCTAACGCGTCACCCAGCTTGGACAAACCCCTCACGGAGCATCGCGGACTCAGTAAGTCGACCTCGGACATATTGACTGACGCACTCGCCAAGTGGATTGCAACAAACTGCTTTTCTCGAGTCTGCTCATGCAAAATGAAATGTGATTAATATTGAATAAAAATTATATTTAATCGTGATTAATCAAAATTAATCCAAAGTAACCCTGTGATGAATCTGATTAAACATTTTAAATATTTTGTTTGACAGCAGTTTGATATAATTATATATTAGTTTATACTTACCTATTAGTATATAGTTTTGGGGTTTTTTTTAAAGTTGCATTTCACAGGAGAAAGCCTGTGCTAAAAGACTGAAGAAAACTATTCAAGCATTTAACATTCTTTGTGTTTATACTTCATTATATTGCATAAATGTATGTTACAAGCTTAAATATAAAGTTGAAAAAATGTAATTGCAACCAGGCTTTTGATCAAGTAACTGCGATTCATTGCGATTAAAATTGTGAGATTAATTAGTTAATTTTTTTTATCTATTGACAGCACTAATATTTAGTTTTACACATTTAAATTAAAATCAAAATAATTAATGTTGCAGAATTAAAGTCACATTTCCATTGAATTCAGTTCAATTCACTTTTATTCATACAGCACTAAATCACAACAACAGTCGCCTCAAGGTGCTTTACATTATAAGGTAGACCCTAAAGTAATAGATACAGAGAAAACCCCAACAATCATATGACCCCCTATGAGCAGCACTTTGGTGACAGTGGGAAGGAAAAACTCTATTTTAACAGGAAGAAACCTCCAGCAGAACCAGGTTGAGTCCAATAACAGATTAAATGCCATGTTGAGGCTGTCATTTTTAGCATCTACATGGATGTTAAAATCACCCACAATAATTATTTTATCTGAGCTCAGAACTAAATTAGATAAAAGTCTGAGAAATCAGACAGAAACTCTGTGTAAGGCCCAGGTGGACGATAGATGATAACAAGTAAGACTGGTTTCTGAGTTTCACAGCTGGGGTGGACGAAGGCTTAAGCATCAGGCTTTCAAATGAATTAAAAGTCTGTCTTGGTCTTTCATTAATTAATAGGCTGGTGTGAAAAATTGCTGCCACACCGCCCCCTCGGCCTGTGCTTCGAGATTTCTGGTAGTTAGAATGACTCGGGGGTGTTGATTCATTTAAACTAACATAATCATCCTGCTGCAACCAGGTTTCTGTAAGGCAGAGTAAATCAATTTGTTGATCAATTATTAAGTCATGTACTAACAGAGACTTGGAGGAGAGAGACCTAATATTTAATAATCCACATTTCACTGTTTTACTCTTTGGTTCAGATGTGGATACTGTATTGTTCTTTCTTTGTATTGTTTATGTTTAAGTTGTTTGTTGCTGGTTTTTAGTTTGTTTTTTGTCTGTTTGGGAGCTGACACAGTCTCTATGGAGATGGGTTTTTGGGGGGGTAGCAGGAGGAGAGAAGCTGCAGAGAGGTTTTGGGGGGTTTAATAAATTTGTCCATATTTCTAGAAATGAGAGCTGCTCCATCCAAAGTGGGATGGATGCCGTCTCTCCTAACAAGACCAGGTTTCCTCCAGAAGGTTTCCCAATTATCTATGAAGCCCACATCGTTTTTTGGACACCACTCAGACAATTTAAGGAGAACATCCAGCTAAACATGTCACTCCTGGTCTGATTGGGAAGGGGACCAGAGAAAACTACATTTTCTAAACCATCGCTACTTTGTTTTATGTAGCAACGGAAGGTGGGGATTTCAGAAGAAGACATACAGCTCATTAAATACATGATGGATATACATGGGGCAGAATAATGGAGTAAATCCAGTCTAAAGGATGATGTATCATTACCTTTACACCTCAAAAAAACAACAACCCTGAACTTGTTACTATTGTTACTAGCTTCCAGGCTTAAAGGATCATAATCCTATGTCAATCCATTGTTCAGGGAAATTGTGTCCAGGAAACTCAATCCAATGAGTCCTTTGCCAAACCAGCATCTCTCGAAGTTACAGTCCTTTGCCTTCCCTCCCTCTGCTAACAACTGGACCACAGTTTGCAATTTAAAAAAAGAGGAAGACAGTCTTGATCTCCCCCAATCACCTGAAGCTCAGGTTTACTGTCCTGAATGAACAACAGTCAAAAGTGACAAAATCCACCTTTTGGCACTCTTGTAGCTATCTTAAAGGCTTAAAGGCTTGTGCCAGGGTACCAATTTTTGTGGTAGTGTTGTTTGAGGTTTGAAAACAGCAGAGGTGCTGCCTTTTGAGAAAATGCTTCTCAGCTATTCCGATACTCCTGACACTGAAGGGATCATTAAGGATTTTTGCTTAGGCAGCAGCTGTCCTTTACTCCTAGAGTGCTTGGAGATTTTTTTAGGTGCTTTCCCAACTTTGACAAATGTCCATCTATGATAATTAGATTTACTCAGGGCCTTTTTGATATAACGTTCCTCCACTTCCATGGCTGCTGTGTCTGTGGGGAAGCTGTTTGCTCTGTGTTGTAGTGTCCTGATGACACTATATGCTCCAGTGGATGATGGGAATCTAACCTTAAATATTAGTCAGTGTTTACTGTACACACTGACTTCATATGTCCCCCATTACTGGTGGAAATTTCACAGCCTAAGAAGGCTAGACTTTTTATTTTTCATATTCTCCCTGGTGAACTTATATATAAGTTTAAAAGGCCGGTAAGTATCCTGGGACAACATACTGTGTGTGACTGCTAAATAGAAAGCATTTAGATGTAGTGGACCAGGAATACAAACTAGGATCAGAGAGAAAACCAGGGAACAAGGGAGAACAATATTGAGGGACGACACGATAATGAAGCTTGAGTGCTTCCTTTAGCATAGGATACACTTGACCATCCTTTATGATAGGGAAAGCGAAATCTGTCCAAAAATTTAGACAGGGGGAACAAAACTGAACCCAAGGCACATGAGACAGGGACTATCAAAATAAAACAGGAAAAGCAGAGTCAGGAGAAACAAACAAACAGACACAACAGACTCTCACAGGAGACACCAGGATAAGACACAAAAGGAACCTAACTGACAAGAAACCATCAACCAGAAACACAAGTAAACTCAAAGACATAAAAAGAACTAAAACCAAGATTAAACCATATAAAACTTGAACTTTTATCTTCTTCATAATGCCAAGGAAAGAATCAAGAATACAAAGTTAAACTCAAAATGCTGACAAATGACAGCTTTGTACATTCCAGTCAATGCTAACACTAGCACATCTCTCTTGTTATTGGCAGACACCATACAAACACTACTACAGTGGACCCAACGGCACACATATTACTGCAGGTGATTTTAATAAGGCAAACTTAGAGTCTGTAGATTTTACCAGCATGTAAGATGTGTGACCAGAGGGGAAAACACTTTGGCTCAAGTTTATACAAGCATAAAACACAGAGTGTGTTATCTCCCACACAGAGGCCGGTCTGACCACTTCTCTGTGATCCTGTCCCCTGAATACATCCACAGATGTATACACAGAAGCAGCACAATTCCTCTGAGTCAATAAGGACTTGACTGTTCATACAGAAGCTGTTCTATCCATCAACTTCTGTGTGGGAAATGTAGCAGCAGAAAAATGTACCTGTGTGTTTCCCAATCAAATCATTGTGTAAGCTGTCAAACGTGTCCCCAAAGCCCACAATTCCACTTTCAGGGAAGTATATAGTGCTGCCAGAGCTGACCTGAAGAGCGGAATCAGGAAAATTGGAGCATAGAAAATCAACTCTCCCATAATAACCTTTGGTAGGGTATCCAGCGTATTGTCAACTTCAGGAGGCAGACCAACACAGTCATGGACACGAGCATCACACTTAGCAAAGGAACTTCTCATGCTTTGAGACACCTCCCATCCACTATTCTGTCTCAACCACTGACTATAAAGGTTCAGGATGTAAAGTGGATGTTAAGAGGGGTTGGCGCCAGGAAAACATCTGGACTTGACAGTATCAGATTTTTTAGGGACTGTGTTCACAGTCTTCACCAGAATTTTCAACCTCTCTCTGAGATAGGCTTTCATCCCATGCTTTAATTATTCCTGTGTTCAGAGCCTATATCAACCGGCTCTGAACACCACAAAGACAAAGAAGATTATTCTGGATTTTAAGAGATTATTTACCAGAACAGACAAGATGAGAAAAAAGACAAGAAAAATATACAAATTCCCCACTCACCCCTAGTGCTCCGATTACCACTGGGACCACTGTTACCTTCACCCTCCACATCTTCTCCAGCTCTTCTCTGAGACCTTGGTATTTCTCAAGCTTCTCGTGTTCCTTCTTCCTGATGTTGCTTTCATTCACTTTCACAATGTCTATCACGATGTCCACCTTCCTCTGCTTGTCCAACACTACTATGTCCGGTTGGTTAGCCACCACTATATTGTCCGTCTATATCTGCAAGTCCCACCGAATCGTAGCTCGGTCATTCTCCTTGGGGGCGTCTCCCATTTTGACCTCGGGACTTCCAGGTTATATTCGGCACGGATGGTCCTGGTGTGATAGACCCCAGCCCAGTGCTGGATTGTGTCTGGGGCATCTTTACACAGCCTGCACCTGGGGTCTTGCCTGGTGTGATAGACCCCAGCCTCTATGGATCTTGTGCTCAGAGCTTGTTCCTGTGCTGCCATGATTAGTGCCTCTGTGCTGTCTTTCAGTCCAGCTTTGTCCAGCCACTGGTAGAATTTCAGCCACCTCCTCTATCTGCCGGTGGTACATGCAGGGGCCTATGCTTCCATGATGGTTCCTCCTCTTTCCTGTATTTCTGCTGCCTGAGGTATTCACTAAACACGCGGTCGGTTGGGGCCATCTTCCTGATGTACTTGTGGATTTCCTTTGTCTCATCCTGGACCGTGGTACTGACACTCACCAGTCCCTGTACTCCTGCCTTACACCTAGCGTACAGCCTCAGGGTTCTGGACTTGGGGTGAAGCCCTCCATGCATGGTCAGTAGTTTCATTGTCTTGATGTCAGTGGCTTCTATCTCCTCCTTTGGCCAGCTGAGTATCCCAGCAGGGTACCTGACCAAAGGCAGGGCGTAGGTGTTGATAGCCCGGATCTTGTTCTTATTGTTTAGCTCATAGGTGTCAAACTCTGGCCCGCGGGCCAAATTTGGCCCGCAGCCTAGTTACATTTGGCCCGCGAAGCCATACCAAATTACTATTAGAGCTGGCCTACTGGTATTATACAGCTAATATATATATTGTTTAGCATTAAACTTTCCTTATTCCATATTCAGTTTTTCAGCAAAACTTGTTTGAGTCCATAAGAAAAGATTCATTCTCATATCTGGAGGAAGATTTTTTTTTCAATAAATATTAATGTTAGCCCGCGACTTTGTTCCAGTTTTGAATTTTGGCCCACTGTGTAATTGAGTCTGACACCCCTGGTTTATCTGACTTGTCAGGACTTGCTTTACCCTCTGCAGGTACTTTGTGGTTGCAGCTTTCTTAGCAACCTCTTCATGGTTCCCATTTGCCTGTGGGATCCTCAGTTACTTGTAGCTAACCTCTGTATCTGCAATGTTGCCTTCTGGTAGTTTGATCCCCTCAGTTCTGACTACCTTTTCTCTCTTTGTTATCATCTGACTACACTTCTCCAGTCTGAAAGACATTCCAATGTCATTGCTGTATATCCTGGTAGTGTGGATCAGTGAATCGATGTCTCGTTCACTCTTGGCATACAGCTTGATGTCATCCATGTACAGGAGGTGGCTGACAACTGCTCCATTCCGTAGTCGGTATCCGTAGCCAGTCTTGTTAATGATCTCACTGAGGGAATTCAGGCCTATGCAGAACAGCAGTGGGGACAGAGCATCTCCTTGGTAGATCCCGCACTTGATGGTGACTTGTGCTATGGGCTTGAACTTGGAAATTAGTGTTGTACACCACATCCCCATTGAGTTCCTGATGAAGGCTCTTAGGGTCCTGTTGATCTTGTATAGGTCTAGGCATTCCAGGATCCAGGTGTGGGGCATTGAATCATAGGCCTTCTTATAATCAATCCAGGCAGTGCCCTGTGCACTGGAGGCTGATTGGTCAGCCTAGTCTTGCAGTCTTGGCTGACTGCTCGGTCTACCAGTAGTTGGTGCTTTGCACGTCTAGTATTCTTGCTAATCCCTTTCTGTGCCCCACTCATGTATTGAGCCATGTGCCTGTTCATCTTATAATGCCTGACAGGAGCTTGTACTGAGTGGTACTGAGGCAGGTTACTGGCCGGTAGTTGGATGGGACCGGTAACTTCTTGGTGATCATCACTGTCCGGTCTTCAGTTTGCCATTCTGGGTGTGGCTGATCTATTAACAGCTTGTTCATTTGTGCTGCCAGACGCTCGTGGAGTGCAGTCAGCTTTTCAGCCAGTAGGCGTGAACCATGTCGGGGCCTGGTGCTGTCCAACTCTTCATACTGGAGACCCTTTCTTGGATATCTGCCACTGTGATTGTTACTGGACCCTGTTCAGGGAGGTCGCTGTGGTCTGCCCTCAGATCCACTAGCCACTGAGCATTGCCGTTATGGGTTGCGTTCTTCTCCCATATGCTCTTCCAGTATTGCTCCGTCTCCAGCCTTGGTGGTGCTGTTCTCAAACTGTTCCCCTGCCACTCAGCTGGTTCTGAGGAGAACAGCTGGTTTATTCTCCTGCCTTCAATCTCTCTGGTTTACCCCTTAAAGCAGCTGGCGAAGGCTGTGAGTCTTTGCTTGGCAGTTTCCACGGCCTGTGGTATGAGACGGTTTGCTGTACTTCTTAGGCACCTTCTTCATCGCACCTTTCTGCAGCTCCAATAGTTGGCTAACCTCCCTCCATGCTACCTTGATTTTGGCCTCAAGTCTCCTTCTCCATGTTCAACTTGTAGCCAAGCATCTCACTGATCACTGCTGCCGTAGTGTAGATCAGCTGGTTATGGTTACAGTAGGTATTGTCCAGAGTGCTGCATTCATATCATCTAGTAGATCTTCTGAGGGTATGTTGTCTTGGTACCCAGCTACAGAGGATCCAGGTTTCAAGCTGATCCAGGTTTCAAATGGGCATTGGAAATAACACCCAATGACCAAAAAACTAGCTTGGTTGATGAAGCAGTATATAAGCCAGCCAACCAGACATTGTGGGGGTTAAAAAGGAACACAAGACTGTAGTTTTGGTTTCAGCAACAGCAGGAAGAAAGAGCATGAGAAAACAGAGAAGTACCAGGGGCTGAATGAACAATTGGTGCAATTGTGGAACATAAAATCCAGAATGGTCCCAGTGGTAGTAGGAGTAGTAGAGTAGGAGCTGTAACCCCAGAACTGGAAGAGGGCTCCAGCACGTTCAGCCCACAACATCAGTGGTCTGCGTCAGTAGTAGGAACAGCTGAGGTACTCCATAGAACCTTCGACCTCAGGAGGACCCAAGCTTGAGGATCATACACACATACCTCTCTCCTCCCCACAACCCCCACCCCACCTGCGGGGATGAAAGATAGTGAAAAGTTTCAGCTTTAATTTTAATTAAGGGCTTTGACAATTGTCATTTGGGAAAATTCACAATAAAATTGATAAATGGGTTAAACTAAATCTGAAGCTGAATTGTCCTCCTATTAATGGACACCATGCATTAACACTGAGGTGAAATAAAGTACACTTCTTTGTATTGCAGGTCAGTACACAATATACAGTAAAGCAAACTGTAATAAAATAATTCAACTTTGTTGTTAAAATAGGTCAATGGCATTGACCTACAAGGAGCCACACATGAACAAGCAGCTGCAGCCCTAAAAGGAGCAGGACAAGTGGTCACCATCATTGCTCAGTACAGACCTGAAGGTAAGTCAGCTGAAAAAAGTTAATGCACTTTACAAGCATGTGGTGTAAATGCCTTATTAATCAGCACAAACCTACACAGGACAATGCTTAAATAGATCTTTGCGGGCCTCTAAGTAAATTGGCTATAATTGGGCCAAGTGATGACCTCCTTATGTACAGTTGTGCTCATAAGTTCACATACCCTGGCAGAATTTATGATTTCCTAACCATTTTTCAGACAATATGAATGATAACACAAAAACTTTTCTTTTCATTCATGGTTGGTGTTTGGTTGTTATACTCAAGGCTCCATTGAGGTGTCTACAAGATGTCATGAGGTACAAGCCGGAGGTCGTCTATGTCCCTGGCAAAACATTTGTCATTCAAGATTCAAGATTCAAAGTGTTTGTTGTCATGTGTACAGAAGAAATAGCATTTCAATAAACACTTTGAATCTTGAATCTCGAATGACATCGCCAATACGTTGTCGCGTAGCCCACAGGCTTGGGCAGATTGCTACGTAGCCACTGTGATACAGGGCATTCCAGCATCTCCAAGCTGAATGTAGAGCATTAAAGAGACACTGCAACTGATGGCGACTTACAGACTGCCATCACCTACATACGCAGGGGATGGCCTGTATACGGAAGTAGTGTGCCACCGAACATCAAAGTGTACATGAAGGTGAAGAATGAGCTATCAGAGGCCAAAGGCCCGGTTATACGAGACTGCCGAACATCGAGGTGGACGACGCTGTTCACCTACCTGCTGCATCGGGTCTTCTCTCATCTGGAAAGAACCAGTTGCATTGTGAGAGTCATGTTTTTTTTTTATTTCTCCAGTGCCTTCAACACAATCCAGACCTCAGTGCTAAGTGGAAAGCTGCAGGGAAAGGGAGTGGACCATCACTGTCCTCGTGGATTGTTGACTACCTCACCAGTAGATCCCAGTATGTGACTGCGGGACTGTGCGTCTGAGGTGGTAGTCTGTAGCACGGGGCCCCACAAGGAACAGTACTTGCTCCTTCCCTCTTCACCCTGTACACTGCAGACTTCAGTTATAACACGGACACTTGCCATCTCCAGAAGTTCTCAGACGACACCGCCATTGTGGGCGGTGTGAATTAGGGAGTAGACCTAACTCAGCAAACTGGTCAGGAGGGCCAGCTCTGTCCTGGACCATCCGCTGAAGTCCATCGAGCAGGTTGGGGAGGATGTTGTCTAAGCTAACATCCATCATGGACATCACCTCCCACCCCCTGAATGAGACTGTACGAGCACTGAGCAGCTCGTTCAGCAGTGGACTTTTACACCCACAGTGTAGGAAGGAGCGCTACCGCAGGTCATTCTTACAGCAGCCGTCAGACTCTATAACACAGTTTAACATCCTTTGGTCATCTTACTCACCAGCTTGTTTGTTCACTGTACATTTTATACATATCTCTGTACAATCTTTCTATACATATTTCTGTACATCGTTACCTGTATATACGAACTTCAGTTGCTTAAGTATATAGGACCACTTTGTGTCTCCCTTTTATATTTTATATTCCCCTTGCTATAAGACCTGTGTAACACCCACATTTTTCATCCGGAGATAATAAAGGTTTATTCTATTCTATTCTATTCTATTCTATTCTATTCTATTCTATTCTATTCTATATACTGGGTTATGTTAGTTAGTGTTAGTGCCCATGTTGCCCATCTGATGTTTCTGCGGCAGGGCTGCCTAGTGCCAGTTTTATTCCTAGCTGTCGTACCCGTTGTTGTGCTGTTATAACTGATGCTGATCACATGTTCAATAAAGCAAACAACTGTATTTACTCTTTTTAGATAATAATCACAAAACAAACTACCCCACCTACATACCCAGTTCTTACTACCCTGTATTGCCCCTTTTAACATCAATGACAGCTTGAAGTATTTCGTCGTAGTTGTGGATGAGGCTCTATACTTTCTCAGATGGTAAATCTGCCCATTCTTCCTGGCAAAAAGCCTCCAGTTCCTGTATTTCTTGGGCTGTCTTGCATGAACTGCAAGTTTGAGGTCTCCTCAGAGTGGCTCAATGATATTGAGGTCAGGAGACTGTCATGTCACTTTATTCTGCTGTAGCCAATGACAGGCCGACTTGGCCTTCTGTTTTGCATCATTGTCATGTTGAAATGTCCAAGTACGTCACATTTGCAGCTTCCAGGCTGATGAATGCAAAATTTACTCAATTTAAAAAAAAATCCTTTTTTGATAGCTTACTGCATTCTTATTGCCATCAATTCTGATGAAATATCCTGTGCCTTTGTAGCTCACACATCCCAAAACATCAGCTATCCATCACCATGTTTCACATCAGGAATGGTGGCCCTTTCACCGTTCGCCTTGTTGACTCCTCTCCAAGTGGCAAACGTTCAGTTTAAGTCTCATCACTCTAAATGACTTTGTGCCAGAAGGTTTGAGGCTTGTCTCTGTGCTGTTTGGCATATTGTAAGTGGAATACTTTGCGGCATTTGTGTAGTAATGGCTTTCCTCTGGCAACTCGACTATGCAGCCCATCTTTCTTCAAGTCCCTCCTTATTGTGCATCTTGAAACAGCCACACCACATTTTCAGAGAGTCCTGTGTGAAGCCTGAAGTTATTTGTACATTTTTCCTTGCATCCCCAACAGTTTTTCTGGCACTTGTGGCTGAAATTTTAGTTGGTCTCCTTGACTGTGGTTTGGTTTCGACAGAACCCCCAATTTTCCACTTAGTAGTAGTATTTATTTATTGTCATTGTCAAGAACAATGAAATTGCGTTTGGGGCTTCCATACAACCCAAAAAAAAGAAGAAAATAATAAATACCCCTTAAAACCCAAGTGTACATATTTAACCCAGTGTGACTCCAATGCAATAAGACAATCCTTAGCAATAATGTTCGTAGAAATTCAGACAAAGACCTGAGAAACATGACAAAATACAACAATGCAACCCATTCAATATTATTGTACTGTGAGATATGATATCAGATATGATAGTTATCTATTTAAGAAAGAGGGGGGGGCAGGAGGGGGAAGAGAATAAAGATATGATGCACCAATGCAGACCAGTTCATTGCTATTAAGAAGTTGGATATGGTTATTGTCCGTGAGAGGGGGGCAGAGAGTTCAGGAGCCTCACAGCCTGTGGATACAGGCTGTTGGCCAGTCTGGATGTTCTGGCCTGTATAGACCTGTACCTTCTCCCTGAGGGCAGCAGATGGAAAAGGTGGCGCGCAGGGTGATGTTGGTCCCGCAGGATACTGTGCACCCTCCTCAGACAGCGAGTGGGGAAGATATTACTGATCTCTGGCAGACTTGTTCCAATAATTCTGCCAGCTTCTTTCACCACCCGCTGGAGTGCTTGCTGATCGGCCTTGGTGCAGCTGGGGAACCACACTAGAAATCCATACGTCAGAACGCTGCTGATGGCACAGTTGTAGAAGTTCAACATCAGAGATCTGGGAATGTGTGCGCTCCGCAGTCTCCTCAGGTAGTAGAGGCGCTGTTGGGCCTTCCGTGCAACTGAGGTGATATGGTTGCCCCAGGACAGGTCCTCGGTCACAGTTACCCCCAAGAATTTAAAACTGCTCACCCTCTCCACCGCCTCACTGCCAATGAAGAGAGGCAGATGGTTGTTATGACCCCTCTTCCGGAAATCTACAATGATCTCCTTGGTCTTTTTGGTGTTTAAGACCAAGTTATTGTCGTGGCACCATGACTCTAGTTGTTGCACCTCTGTCCTATAGTTTGTCTCATCATTGTTGGATATAAGTCCGAGCACTGTAGTGTCATCTGCAAACTTAACAATGAGATTGGACGCGCAGGAGGAAATACAGTCATGGGTGAAGAGAGTGTATAGCAGAGGGCTCAGAACACACCCCTGAGGGGCACCGGTGTTGACCACAAGGGTGGAGGAGGTGTTCTTACCCACTCTGACACTCTGTCTACGGTTAGTGAGGAAGTCCACAATCCAGTTGCACAGAGAGGAGTTAAGTCCCAGTTGGTGGAGTTTGGGACGGAGTTTGTATGGCCGGATGGTATTAAAAGCCGAGCTGTAGTCTACAAAGAGGAGCCGTGCATAGGTGTTCCTGTGTTCCAAGTGCTTCAGTAATGTGTGCAGCACTGTGGCGATCGCATCCTCGGTTGACCGGTTCTCCCTGTATGCAAACTGGTGCGAGTCCAGGGATGGTGGAAAAGCAGCTCTGATGTGTTTAATGACCAGTCTCTCCAGGCATTTGGCGGGAATGGGGGTGAGTGCCACAGGTCTGAAATCGTTCAGACATGTGACATTTGACTGTTTTGGGATGGGAACGATGGTTGCTGCTTTGAAACAGGATGGTACCAGTGAACAGGACAACGAGGTGTTATATATAGAGGTGAAGACGTCCGCCAGTTCCGCAGCACAGTCTTTTAGCACCCGGCCCAGCACTCCATCTGGCCCGGCCGCCTTCCTGGTGTTAATGCTCCGGAACACACGCCTCAGCTCATGAGTGCTCAGGACTGGAGCAGGATCGGTTGAGGGGAGAGGGGACAGGACAGGGTCGGTGTTCTCCCTATCAAAACGGGCATAAAAGAGATTTAGATCCTCAGCCAGAGTAGAACTGTCGGCTGAGGGTGATGGTGTTCTTCTTTTGTAGTCCGTGATAGCCCTGATGCCCTCCCAGACCTGCCTTGGGTTTGTGTTGTTCTCAAACCTGGCCTCGATACGCCTCCTGTGCTGCTGCTTGGCAGTCTTGATGCCTCTTCTCAGGTTGGCCCTGGCAGCACTGTATGCCTCCTGGTCCCCGGATTTGAAAGCGTTGTTCCTTGTTCGAATAAGTTGTTGAACTCCGTGTGTCATCCAGGGTGGATTATTAGGGAACACACTGAGTCGTTTCCAAGTTGTTACATTGTCCACACAGAAACAGATGTAGTCCAAGACAGTGGAGGTGTAACTGTCCACGATTGTCAGAAAGATGCATGGGTCTGTCAGGAGCCCAGAAAGTCACTGACCTTTTATACACACCCACTGATTACAAGCAAACACATCACAGGTGACGATGGTGACATTTCATAGCCTTTCTAACCTTTTTTTGTCGTGTGCAAGCCACCAGGGTATGTAAACTTTTGATCTGGGTCATTTGGGTAGTTTGTGTTGTGTTTAAAAAAAAAAGAGTAACCACAGTTTGACAATAAATGGCGTCAGCCAACAACGAGTGAAAGAAAAGGTTTTGTGTTATCATCCATACTGTCTGAAAGTTCTGCCAGGATATGTAAACTTATGAGACACCTACGGAATTAGCACCTATGCACTTACATTCAATGTAAGAATCTCACAGAAGTCGTTTCACTCTTGAACACTTTGTCAGACAAAGATTAGTTCATTGTAGTGTAAAAATGTTTCTTTATTGCAATATCTGCATTGGAAACACCCCATACACAAGCAAATGAAACACAGTCAGAATGAATATATGTGTGGACAAGATGTTTGCAAACCAATTTACAGCATTTCAAGAAAATATATTATTGTGAAGTTTATTCACCGAGGCAGCATATACGTTGAATACGTCCACAGTGTTTCACAAATAAAGAAAAAGAGAACCAAAGTATTTTTAGTTCCCATTTAATGTGAAAATTCTCACTGAGCGACCCCTTAAAAACACTTAAGTCTATCTCTCATTAATGAGATTTAAGTTTAGTTTTTGTGTCATTTTTAATCTTATCTTCTATCAGAATTCCTCTCTAGGAGCTACGTGGACTCAGTGAAGTGTTGATCAGCTGATCAGAAATCTAAAACAATTTGCTTCCCCAAACAGGTTATTGGAAGGATTTTTATTGAGAGTACTGCACAGGTGATTGGGGGTGGACGTGGGCGATATAGCCTCAAAATGATATCAAAATATCATTTAAAGATAATAATCATATTTATGACAATACAGAATCAGTGTGTGTAATTAGTAAACAGAAAGTACTTAAACAAGAAATGCTTGTATAGTGCTTGTATTTCATACCTTGGGATCTTGTATCTTGGGTAGAGCGTGAACCACTTGCTTTTCCAACGTGTAACTGCATCAGCAGTTTCCATCCACCATTTGCTCTTTCTGCCGTGTGGATTGCAACTAGCAAGTGCAGCTGGTAATGCTTGGGTCATTTGATCACATTTGAGTCCATCACCAGCTACTAGCTTCTGCTCCTTCACAGCCTGATTGTGTTTTTGCCTCAGGTGGTGGGTGAAACAAGTTTGTGGTTTCCCACATTAGGAGGAACAATTTTATTGCATATTTTGCAAAGTGCTGTGTTTTGTTGAAGGTTGTTGAAGTACTTAGGTAATAAATTCTCATTTAACAAGCATTCTGCTTCTTTAAACTGATTTTTTGCTAAATTTCAAGCCACTGATTTAATCATCATGTTTTCTCCACTCCACCAGGTTTATGACCTGAAAAACATTCCTGATCTCCATCCAATTAAAATCTACAACTGGGCGCTTTTTAGACAGTCGCTTTGATGTTTTATTTAAAACATCTTAGAGCTATTAGCCAAAACGCTTGGTATAACCTAGCACAGTGAACTGTGTGTCCTTAAAAAAACTGAGGAATGTGGAAGCAGTAGGTCTAAAAAATAATCTACAGCAGATAAACAGTATCTGAAAGTCATGTTCTTAAGAAACAGGAGGAAAAAGCAAAACCTGACACAGGACCTGAAAGACATGTCTGCTCCTTCAGTGGATCTATCTGCTGTTCATCAGTCTCATCAGAAATGTCTTATTTTGTCTTCGTTTCTGCTAAGGCTGACAAGAAGTCACCAAGTGAAACAAACATGTGTATAAAGTTTAAGTTGTCATCAGTATATACAGAGGAGGTAAGGAGGGAGGTACAGCAGTGAGTGTATACAGCCATCAGTGAAACACAGTAAAGGCTCCATCATGGTCATACCACCCTGATTAGCTTCCAAGATCTTGTCCGATCTTGGAAGCTAATCAGGGTTGGGCCTAGGTACTTGGGTGGGACGCTGCCTCCCCATTGGTGTGTTAAAGCCAGTGTGTCCACCTATCATTGTCCAGTATTTTTCCTATGGCCTTGTGCTGTATGGCTGTGGCAGTTTCTTTCAACCCTCTATTCTATAATACATATTTGTGTAGTAAAATATAAACGTGTAAATTATGAGGTAATTGTGAATATAAATAATGAGTTATACAAGATAAAAAATAAATTCTAACAAGCATCACTTCTTGTTCATGTTACAATGCACAGTATAGTGTGTGTGTGTGTGTGTGTGTGTGTGTGTGTGTGTGTGTGTGTGTGTGTGTGTGTGTGTGTGTGTGTGTGTGTGTGTGTGTTTCATAGTGTAATCTCTATGTGCTTTATCCAAAGCACACACTCTGTTGATTTACCTCATTGTTCTCACAGTGTTCATTCACTGTGTGTAGCTGCAACACTTTAAACATAATAGGCTTGATGTTCTGTCCTTCTACCCTCGCTCAGATATAATGGGAGACAGTCCCACCTTTGTCAACAGTATAAACCATGTATTTGTTTTTTATATTTGTTTTTTAAACGCAAAGAAAACTTATTAAATGTCAAACGTCAAGCAAGAATGATCAATTATGAACTAGGCATAATTCAAACCATGGACATTTGTTCTTAAAAAACACATCTGTTACAGATTAAACGCTGTGAATATTTCTGCTAATTTATTACAATTCTGAAAAGTTGTTATGATTTTAGCAACTTTTCTAATATCGACTTCAGCTTCCTCTCCTGTCTTCACGAGACAGTTTAGCTCGCTGGGCTTGAGCACCAAACACTGTCTATGAAACAGTGTTCAATAAATTAGTGCTTTAATATTAACATTTTTATGTTTCTGGTTAAAACAGGAAAGACAGTAAGTGGCTCACTTTTGTGTTGCCAAAGTGAGTCAACATGTTCAGTGCAGAACTGGTGGATCCTCCTGCACTGAAACAGGAGGAAGAAAAGCTAGGGTCTGTGGAGCAGAGTATTTGGGTGAGGCGCTGCCGGGTCTCCGGACCAACAAGCCTAAGTGCCAGCTGGCTACCAAAGAATTTGCAGCAATTTAGAGCAATTTGCCAACAATATGTTTACAAAAAACATGAAACAAAGAAACTTAGTGTTTGTCTCCTAGTAGTTAGTAGTTTAGTTATTTTCCTGTTATTTAAAAAAGAGGTCAAGTATTAGTGAGAAAACAATATAGCCAGCCACAGTGATTTCATACTGAGACATTGTCAGACTCACAGTCTTGCGTTCCTTCTTTTTCTTTTGCTCCCTTCAGGTGTTGCCTCACCCCATCTGTAACATCCTCCTCTGTCGCATAAACTCTGTCCATGTCCTCATCAGCATATATAAATATACAAATATGTTTTCAAAGGTAGTCTTATTTTTTTAATTCCTTTTTTCATATATTGCCAAATCACAAGAAAAGTTGCCTCAAAGTGCTTTTTATAGCAGTACAAAGAAACAGACAAAACCCCCACAATCATCTGATGCTCTATGAGCAGCAGTGGGAGGGAACGTCTCCTCTTTTAGACGTAAAAAAGGAAACCAGAGAATCTGTCTCCTATTTCTTTGGGGTGTATTGTTATATATCTGATTGTATTATACAGCAGCTTGTGACACTGTCCTGCTGCTGATGTGCTGAAATGGGATAAATGCCTTTGTTTCTATTTTCGTAGGTCAGGTATGAATGCATGCTGCTAATAAGAACCCACTGCAGAGAGATAGGTGTTTCCCTTTCTGTCTACTGCTGACACACAGATTTGAGATGTGTGTAGACACCAGGGAGAAAGAAACCAAGACAACATAAAAAAGTGGAAACTGAGCATGAGACTGAACATGCAGACAGTTATAGAATATCTGTTAGTCAGCAACAGCTGCTGTACACTTCTCTGCTTGTTTCTTGGCCCAAAGCTTAACTCCTGAACCTTTATAACTAATAAACACTGATGGCACAACATCAGTGTTTATTAGTTATAAAGTCCTCAGACAAGATACTGTGTGTGTTTCTGTGTGTTTTAGATGAAAGCGCTGCATAAAAGTGAGCGAGAGACAAAGCGTGACACTGATAATGCAGGATAATGAGGGCAGCTGAAGATATATACACAAGAGGTGATTATAGAGAGGGAACAGCAGGTAACACAGCTGCAGTGATCACACAAGGGAACCAAGGGAACTAAAAGGCCTGATAATAAACAGAGCAGACGGACATAACCTTACAATGACAGTTATCCCTTAAACAATATCTAAATGCAAATTCCATTAAAGATAATTACTCAAGACCTTATTGGTGTCAGACTGTCAGTGCTGATCCACGCTAACCTTGTCTTGTAGAGTACGGACGTTTTGAGGCCAAAATCCACGACCTGCGGGAACAGATGATGAACCACAGCATGAGCTCTGGGTCAGGATCCCTGCGAACCAATCAGAAAAGATCACTCTATGTTAGGTTGGTCTGTTTTGGATTTTAGATGGTTGTGGTGAATTCAAAGAATGCAGAAAATGAAAAAACATCCATTCTGCAGTCAGACATCCCAGGCTAAACAGCAACGCTGCTTTTGTGTCGTTTACTTTTGTAAGCTTGTGTGTCTTCATGCATAGATGTCTGACCCTAACTAAGATGAAGATTTATGCAGATATTCAAATCGGGTTTGAGATGTGTGACTGAAACAGAAACACATTCACTATTTACTATAGTAACTATAACTGCTGAAATCCTGCATCTAGTTTCTCTTTGCTAATTTAGAATAAAAGTCACTTACTGCAAAGAAACAGGGATTATTATTTTATTACTGCTCTTCTTTCGTGGAATAGGGCACTTTTTGACTATGAAAAGTCAAAGGACAGCGGTCTTCCCAGCCAAGGGCTCGGCTTCAGGTTTGGGGACATCCTGCACGTCATCAACGCCTCCGATGATGAGTGGTGGCAGGCTCGCCGTGTTACTCCACATGGTGACAGCGAGGAAATGGGCGTCATCCCAAGCAAGAGACGGTAAGAAGTGAATACACTAATGTGTGAAAATACTATTGACTAGTTTCTTCTAAACTAGTCATTATCCAAAAACAGGCTGTTTTTGATTCAAGTTTATTCATAAATCACCAACAACAATAGTCCCCTCAGGGAAGTCAAAGAGCTGAAGACCTTCGTGATAACAAAAGCCAAAGCGTAACGTATCCCAGTCCTGAATAACACTGGTGCAGAATCAAATTCATCTGAAAGGCGTCGATACAGCAAACAAAGCAAAAGTGCCAAAAAGGTGTTTTCATTATCAAAGAGCAAAAACCATTTGTCAAATGTGGGATTTTTGTTTCTTCGCTTTAGGTTTGAATTGTGATTCGTGTCACAAATATGTCGTATGTTCCCCCAGTCATGTCTGGGTTTGCTCGCTTCTGTGTGTCTCGTCTCCTTTAGTCCATGTTTCCCTCCTAGTGTTTCATCCTTGTCTCCCCGTCTCTCTCTCACACATGTGTGTTCTCCCCTACTTGTCTCTCGCCCTCTCTGTCCTCCTTCTGTGCCCTGGGTTTCGTCAGTCTGCATCTCAGTGCGTGTTTCTCGCACTTCCAATTTTACTTTGATAGTCTCCCCCAGGTGTTTCCTCTTTGCCCTGATTCCCTCTTCGTTTACTGTCTGTGTCTCCCTCCGTCCAGTGTCGTGATTGACCCTTCTCTCAGTGAGCTACATGATGTAGTCACCTGACATGGTTTCACCTCACAGGTGAGCCTGTCAGGGTTCATCTGTGGAGTTTCTTGCCTTCTTAATGATGTTGGGACCATCTGTTGTGTTGTGCAGCAGTCAGGTTGGTGCACAGCTGACAGGCCTATTTGACAACTGCTAGAATTCATATTATGGCGAGAACCAATCAGCTAAGTAAAGAGAAACAACAGTCCATCATTACTTTAAGAGCTGGAGGTCAGTCAGTCGGAAAACTGCTAAAACTTTGAATGTGTCCCCAAGTGGAGTCGCAAAACCATCAAGACTACGATGAAACTGTCTCACATGAGGACGCCTCAGTAAAGGAAGACCAAGAGTCTCCTCTGCTGCTGAGGATACATTCACCCAAGTCACCAGCCTCAGAAATCACAAGTTAACAGCAGCTCAGATCAGAGCCCAGATAGATGCCACACAGAGCTCCAGCAGCAGACACATCTCTACATGCTCAGACCAGACTGTGTGAATCAGGCCTTTATGGTCAAACAGCTGCTGAGAAACCACGACTAAAGAGAAGAGATTTGTTTGGGCCAAGAAACACGAGGAGTGGACGTCAGACCATCTGTGCTTTGGTCTGATGAGTCCACATTTGAGATCTTTGGTTCCACCTGCCGTGTCTTTGTGACACAGAAAAGGTGAGCGATGGTCTCTACGTGCATGGTTCCCACCATGAAGCATGGAGGAGGAGGTGTGTGTGTTTGTGTGTGTGTGGGGGGGGCTTTGCTGGTGACACTGTTGGGGATTTATTCAAAACTGACGGCAAACTGACCCAGCATGGCTACCACAGCATCCTGCAGCCACAGGACAATGAGCCCAAACACACCTCCAGGCTGTGTGAGCTGATGTGGGTTGGCTATAACTTGAAAGCAATCCAGGCATGAAGGGGGGCGACTTTGAGGAATCTAAAATATTAAACATGTTTTGAGTTATTTCACACTTTTTTGTTTACTACATAATTCCTCATGTGTTCATTCATAGTCTCGATGCCTTCAGTAAGAATCTATGACAGGGCTGCCCAATCCCAGTCCTCGAGAGCTACTATCCTGCAGCTTTTAGATGCATCCCTACTCCAACACAGCTGAATTAAATGAATGGCTTGTTATCAGGCCTTTGCCATGCATGGCATGCTGAATAGGTAATCAAACCATTTGATTCAGCTGTGTTGGAGTAGGGATGCATCTAAAAGCTGCAGGATAGTAGCTCTCGAGGACTGGGATTGGGCAGCCCTGATCTACGATGTAAATGGTCAAAGAAACATAAAGAATTAAACGTGTCCAAACCTGACTGCTAGTGTGGGTGTTAGTACTAAAGATCTCACACGAGTTTGGATCTCGGTGACTTCGGCCTCAAGGTCTGCCTCAATTTTCTGAAAATCTTGTGAGTGTGAAAACTCTAGAACAAAGACACGGGAGTTTGAAAGTGATGCAACTGGTGTGTCCACCAAAAACTTGGTGACCTTGACCTCAAGGTTAGAGGTCCTTTTGACAAAGCATATAGTTAGGCCTGGATCAGGTGACCGTGAATCGGCCCTTAGTTATGCTGCAATAGGCTGCTGGGGGACTCCCATGATGCACTAAGCATTTCTCCTTGTCTCGCCCATTTTCACTCATCATGGGTTAATAAACTATAATTAAGCATTAATGATTCTTGATCTCGGGCTCTCTTTGTCTTGTTTCCCTTCCCTCACCCCCCACTGTCACAGCAGATGGCCCTGAGCCTGGTTCTGCTGTTTCCCTCCCACCGTGTTTCGTCTGATTGTTGGGATTTCTCTGTGTTATTTAACGGTCTTTTCCTTACAATATAAAGCGCCTTGAGGTGACTGTTGCTGTGATTTGGTGCTAAATAAATAAAATGTAACTGAATTTAAAAAAACAGAAGTCATTATTTTGAACTTGAGAACAAAGCGATGTAGGTTTTTTAAATTCATACAAGGTGAATGTGGATGCAACAACTAGGAGCTTTTCTGTTAGCTTTGAAGTGCTCCTGTAATTTCATTCAGCAGTGTACAAATGCAGGGCCATGATACTGTATTTGGACAGCTATTAATTTTTTGTCCCCTGAAGGAGCCTTTGTTAAAACAAGCTTAAAACTGGGTTTTTTTCAACTTCAAGTACTTGCAGGTGCTCAGTAAGCATCAGGAGTGAGGTACTGGTAAGATCAGCAATACTGGAGAAAAGTAAAAGCATTTAAAGTGGGCTGACAGGATGAAGCACACAATGAACCCAATTCAATAAGCAGTGTGTTACCACACACCTGATGTTTGCTGATGTTTAGCTGTGATCACTGGAAAGGGCAGGAGTACGTGTAGAGTCCCATATGGAAAAGAAATAGTAAAAACGTATATGATTTACTCATGAAAGTGGCCACTTTCTCATTACTTTCATATATTGTTTTAGTAAGTATCCAAAACATACAAGTTTCATTATATAATTTTTCGAGGGATCTTATATCTGTTTTCACTCTTATACACTTTTCATACAAGTTTCACACAGACAGATACAAACTTTATAAGATTTATATATATCTTTTCCATATGGGGTAGAAATTGTTAAGACTTCCTTCTTCTCCTCACAGTTGCTAAACTTTATACATACCAGCTGACCAGTTATTTCCTCAACAGGGTGGAAAGGAAAGAGCGGGCACGTCTAAAGACTGTTAAATTCAATGCCAAGCCAGGGTCGTTTGAGTCAAAAGGGGTGAGTACCTCGCAAAGTGGAAATTTCTATTAGTGCGATGATCCACAGGCTAGTTCAGATAGAACTGAACATGTATGAGAAGCTTAACCTGCTGTTTGCTTTGCCACACAAACAAAGTTAACACAGACAAACATTTTTATGCCTGCATGAACAAACAAGTAATCACTTCCAGTGCAGGCAAGTAAAGCTTAACTTTGGAAAAGTCCATCAGATCATTTCTTCTGTCAAACGTCTTCATTTGTATTTGTTTCAGTTCTCTTGATATTTCACTTGTGTGCTTTGATTTGCACCCTTATTTAATCAGCCAACCTCTACTAAGCTTCAGGTCATGGACTTCCTGCCCCGACATTCTCCTGCCACATTTCATTTTTGGTTGCATCCAGTGATGACAATGTGCACAGGCGCAGGGTTGTCTCCACCATACTTTACAGGTTTGTAAAGGTTTGCCAGGCTTTTAACTTCCAAATATAACACTGCACATTTTCAGCTCCCCACAGAGCTTTGCTCAGTGTTGTAGATCATGCAGGAGTCTTTGGCTAGGTGAAGTCAGGGGCTTACTCATTTTTCCAGCCGGCACTGTGAGTGATTACTTGACATGAAAAACAAGCAGTTTTTTGTGTATAGTTGACTTCACACATGGTCAGTCAGGTCACCTACTGATCAGAAGGTTGGTGGTTTGATCCTTGCCTGCTCTAGTCTGCGAGCCAAGTATCCCTGGGCAATAACCCCAAGTTGCTCTCCGATGCATCCATCGGAGTATGAATGTTAGCTAGAGAGCACTTACATGGAAAAGAGTGAATGAGGCAAGTTGTGTAAAGTGCTTTGACTGCTCAGAGTAGAAAAGCGCTCTATAAGAACCATCAGTGCAAAAATCCTGACAATGCCACAAACCCTTTCTTACAGCTGTAGATGTGCTTCATTTATTAATCTTACCTCCCACAAGTCAAACCTGCACCACCTGTGAATTATCAGCTCAACTTCATTTTGGAAACAGATGTGGTATATTTACAAAGCATCAAGTGCAATATATTCTACAACCACAGACACACATCATACAGGCAGGTTATTTCAGCTGTCATCCTCTCAAATTCCATCTTTTCCTTCTATTACTGCATGTTTTTACGTGTTCTTATGGAACCTCTTTCTTATATTTTATTTTTCATGGCATGTTCTGGGTAACTGTCTCTCACTTTGCTTTTATTTTAAACGGGTGGCATGTCAAGAAGTGTGCAATCTCATACTGATTTATTTAGGAATACAGCAGAAGAAGCTCGGTCGTTTTATATATCGCTGTTGTTGTCTGACAGTCTTGTAATTGTCTTTAGTCTTTGGTTGTCTCATCTATCTGTGGCCAGCTCGGCTCAAAGCTTCACATATTATTAGGTCAAATTAAAACACGCAGCAGTGATTCACACTTAACTTCTTGACATTCTACTTCCTGCAAACAGTTTTGTCTGCATGACAATGATACACCTGTTTGCCCCATGCTTTCTCTCCCTTCGCAGTCATTCACTGACAAACGTAAAAAGAATTTCATCTTTACACGAAAGTTCCCATTCTACAAGAACAAAGATGGTGAGCAGGATGGCAGTGATTCAGACCGTAAGTAAGCTCACAGACACATACGTGCTTTCATGCAGTCAGTGTAGGTCACACGTCAGGCCAGAAGGGAAACCACAGGTGTGTTTCCAAGTGTGGGAACCTCACGGAGGCTCTTTGCAGTCATCCTTGTTTTCTGTCCTTTTCTGATGCAGAAATGCGATAATCACTGCTCTCATAATCACTGCTGTTCATTTTGTGGTGATATTATATGACCCAGTTTCCCTTCAGAGATCATCTAGGTACAGTCCAACATTTGGTATTTTGGCTCTCCCTGCTGGCCACTCATTGTTTTGAGAAGGACAGATCTGTGGGCCGCACCCTCTGTCCTCATTTCCTCCACCTTTTGCTTATGTTGTGGCTGTCCTCCTTGCTCTCTTTCTTCTGCTCTGACTCTCTGTGGACGGCCAATAGGACATCCTGGGGATAGGTGATGATGGGTATGGGACAAAGACATTAAGTAAGTTGGTTGTTCTTCTGCCTGCATTACTGCATGCTGCAGTTGTTGGCTTTATCTTGCTTCTTGGTCCACTAAAACATGACATGTGGCAGAGGTTTAAAAATGTTCAATATCTGTATAATGTCATGTAAGGATTTCAAGTAACCATCTTTTTCTTGTATAAGACTTTAAGAATCGTTTAAAATGCATCAGAGGACAAATATTTAAATTAAACTACTGAAATCTTATTATACATATATTGGGTTAGTTTTTATGCTTTCGGTGGCTTGTGCCATTTATACCTCGGCGCGTCTGTAATGTTTGCATTATCTGAGAACTGCATGATTTGTTAAGGGTCGCAGGTTCTGCAGGACACAGTTATGACCTTGTATTCGTCCTAAGGAGGAACCACTGGGATCTCTCACGACTCCACCAGCATGATCTTTGTTATTCCAGCCTCACTATGTGGATATTGTTTCATGCATGTTTGCATGGTGCTTTTGTTTTCGTTTATGAGCATAGCAGCTTGAATGACAGTCTTAGAGGTTGCCACGGTTACATCTGTTTGTTTGGGCCTTCTACAGTAAAATGTCATTTGCGGTTGGAGTTCATGTTTCAGCGTTGCGGGTATGTGTTTATGTCCAGTAGTTTGATTATTGCGAAATACTGAGAGTATTTAATTATGCGTGTTTCAGTACCTAAAATTCAAATCAAGACACGTTTTTATGTTTTTAAGAGTTTCCTAAATTAACTAATTATTAGCACTGACAACACAAACGCATCACTGAAACCACCGTGTACTTTTTTTGAAGTTCTCATTTGTAAACTAGAAGATACTAAAATATCAGTAAATGTAAAACATGAATAAAATGTTGATTATTACAGAGTTATCTCGAACTGTTACATGTATTTTGATGGGTTTTTCTTTGTTGCCCACAAATTCTGATAGCTAAAGGTAGCACTATATTTTGTGAAATATCCTAACAGGAAGTCAAGAGGAAGTGGTTCTCTCATATGAACCAGTGATGCGTCATGAAGGTAAGCTAAAACTTTTTTATTACTAGTCTTTTATTTATCCAGGAAAAAACCTCAGTGAGATTAAAAATCTTATTTCCAAAAGAGACCTGGCATCATGGCAGCAAAATTCAAAAATACATGTACCACATAAGTACATAACAAATACAAAATCCCGCACAAACATGTGAAAAATACACAATAACAGATCAGTTAAGAGCGACATTAAAAACAATCACACGGACTAACAGAGTTATTCTCTCGTTCCTTAAAGATGGACTTAAACTCCAGGAAACAGGGGGCAGCGGATTTAAAAGCCCCAATTCTGTTCTGATTTTTGGGGACAATTAGTTGTATGATGTTGTGAGAACAAAGGCTGTATTGGTTGTGGGTTTTTTATTTCAATTAATTAATTTATTAATTCTTTTGTGTCCTTAAAGCAGGCGTTAGACACATCAGCCACTGAGCATTAATGAGCTTCACTTTCAAGTTGTTGATTTAGATACAAACACGTCACAGCTATCTCGGGCTTTGGGAATTTTTGCACATGCCACATTCACAGACAGTCACACGGGTGGATGCATTGGGGGTAAGCCCACTCTGACAGCCCACAGCCCACTCTGACAGCCCACAGCCCACTCTGACACCTTGATTGTTTTTTTGGTTTTTATGACTTCTTGAAATGATATATTTTGTTAAAATTTAGTTTCGTATGTATTTTTTTTTACAAACTAGGTTTTTCCAAATAGTTTTTATGTGCCAGCCTAAACTCCATATTATTCCTCTTTTCTGTTAAGCAAGCCCAACAAAGTTAGGGATGGTTTTAATACGTTTTCTCACCACAAACTGTCCCGCGTGTGAAATCGAAACGTATAAACTTTGCAAGAACTGTACAGTTTCCCAGTTGCTGCTGTCTACTCTACAGATTTTCTATTATTTATTCATTTTTCTATTACAAGAATCGATATATCCTTTGTAGATGATAACAACATAACTAAAGCTATGCTACGGTCCTCTAAGAGTTTACTTTTTATGAAGTCTGTGTTTCTCCTTTAGTTAACTATGCCAGACCTGTCATAATCCTGGGACCCATGAAGGAAAGAATCAATGATGACCTCATATCAGAGTTCCCAGACAAGTTTGGATCTTGTGTGCCGCGTACGTATTTGACTTTGCATTGCTAATGTAAGGATGAAGTGGGAAACAGGACATTACAGATTAGTATTCCAGCTTAATGGAAGAAATGTCTACGTCTGCATCCATTGGAGACCTTTCTGTGTAGAGTCTGCATGTTCTCCCTGCTACTGTCTGCACTCTCTCAGGCTCCCATCCACAGTACAAAGACATGGATGTTTGGTTAGCATGCATGTCTGTGGCCATTCTACAGTATGTGTGAATGTGAGAGTGGGTGGTTGTCTGTCTCACTCTGCTGGTGCTCAGGTAGATTCCACCTTTGACCCTTGGACAGCTGGAATAGGCAGCAGCTCCCTGTGCCCCTAAATTATACAAACTGTTGAGAAAATGGATAGAAAACTGCAGCGATTCAATCAGTAGCTGAGGGACAGCTCACACAGATTCCACCAGCCTTCTCACTGTAGTAAACCAAGTATATATGGTCTCCATTGTGAGAATAGATCTTGTAATCTCCTCCACACAGGAACACTGTGTTAAATATTACTTAATGTAATGACAGTGGCTTGGGTATTGCTGGTTTGTAAGAGAAAGCTGTCACAAGCTGACCCAACAGGATCAGCCTTCGTCTTCTTCAGTTGTGTGTGTTGTGTTTGTCATCAGCTGCAGCAGTTTTGATTTTGCATGTTTTTATTTACCCATCTCTTATTTGAATTTACCCTTTAAACCATATAAAGCTGCTAACCGTTCAGGTTATCAAGGTAAGTGAGCCCATGAACTGATTCTCTCAACCTACTGTTTAGAAAGTCCTTTAAAGTGAAGTAGTTCCCATAAACAAGTCCATTCATCTTTTTGGAACCACAGTTTGTGTATAATGTGGAATTTCTGTCATTGATATTGTTATTATTATTATATCATTATGGTGCACTAATAATATAGAATTCTGTGCCACAACCTCTCCATATATTAACAGAGGTGCTTACCTGTGAGTTCAAAAACATAATCACATTTATGTCACAGCTTGGTAATAACATGGTAAGAGTGGTTTTAGTATTAGTGTGATAATAAAGACAGAACATGCAAGTAATACCATTTACTTACTGAAGTAAAGGCCACGCAGTACCTTGGTATTAATCACAAGTATATCAGTATTTTACTTGTTCATTATTAACCTGTTATCCCAGCATTACCGTGTTATTACTGTGCGGTGCTAGCAGTGTTATCCCATGTTTCCAGTTTAGCCCTTTAATCTCTGTTGGATAGCTTTAAAGGTGAATTTGTTACAGTTAATGTGAGAATTGTAAAATGTGAGTGAGGTACTTATTCATTTAGATAGAATTATAGCAAATGTAAAGTTACTAAGAGTTAATGTTCCTGCTCATACTGAAGATACCACTCGACCAAAGAGGGACTACGAGGCTGATGGGCGAGATTACCACTTTGTGATGTCGAGGGAACAGATGGAGAAGGATATCCAAGAGCACAAGTTCATTGAGGCTGGGCAGTATAATGATAATCTCTATGGAACGAGCGTCCATTCGGTCAAATACGTGGCTGAGAGGGTAAGATTTGATCTGTTTGCCAGCAGCGTCACAGAGAAGCATTTAAAATATAGTTAAATATAATAAGTGTGCAGAGTGCAATATATTCTCTGAGAAATCAAAGCAGCTGCACTGCACTTTGAAAAGCAAAGACGATTTAGAAACACATAAGAGTTGTTTTAAAATTATCTTAATATGAGAGCTAGTGTGATTCTGTGTGCTACAGCTAAAGCTGTGCTTCTGTCTCAGGGTAAACACTGCATTCTGGATGTTTCTGGAAATGCTATCAAACGACTACAAGTAGCACAACTCTATCCCATCGCCATCTTCATAAAACCGAAGTCTATTGATTCATTAATGTGAGTATTCATGTGGTCTTTTGTCACACACTAACAATAGAGGTATTGTTTGATGCGCACATTTCTATTCGTGTGTGTGTGTGTGTGTGTCTCTGTGTGTGTGTACAGGGCCATGAATAAGAGACTGACAGAGGAACAAGCCCAGAAGACCTTTGACAGGGCGATGAAGCTTGAGCAGGAGTTTGGTGAATTCTTTACAGGTACAGTGTTAAAACAAACCATTTATACTGAATCACTGTAGCTCAAACGTTGTTTGAACCGTGTCTAAATCCAAAGCTTAGGCATCAGTGACAGTATTGGTTTAGTCAGACAACTGAAAAAGCTTCTACTCCTCAATAAGGAGAACAGCACGCTGTAAAGATTTTAGCATGTATAATTTTTCTACCTTTGCTGAAGTTTTGAAAGATGTACATTAAAAACAGAAAGAAACTTAAAAAATCATTTAAAGACTAATTCTATTGGTCTGGTCTGAGCTCACGATGTCACCAGACGCACAAAATTAGGAATTCTAAACCTGTCTCAGTACAACTGAAAGGCGTTCGGAGCCTTCAGTCCTCTCTTCTGAGGAACCAGCTCCCAGTTTGGATTTGGGAGACAGTGTCATGGTGAATTGGGTTAAAGGACTCAGGTGCGAGACTCCTTGCAGAGTGACAGTGAATTTATTCACAGTGAAAAAATAAGTCAACAGTTCGAGTCTGTAATCCAAAAAGGGCAGTGCAGTGATACAATGGCTTCTCCCCGTGGTGACAGTGCAGTGACAATCCAAAACAACTCCTTGTGCCCGCTCCTCCTCCGATCCCTGAATCCTGGAGGCAAATGAGAAAAACACACGCACAGTAACGAAAACGTTCTCTCTCCTTCACAAACTAGGTATGCTAATCGCGACTACGCTACCCGGTTTTGCTCAACGTTCCAGCGTTGGTTGTGACTCGACCGCACCGTTAAATAGGTCTGCTTCGGATTAGGATGAAGAGGAGAACACCACAAAGTACACGCAAACACAACAAAAATTGGCAAGGCGACCGGTGAGGACCATCTAGCCGTGACAGACAGACGCCATCTCTTACTTTATGCTCGCTCATAGTGGGCCCTCTGACTGTTGGGGTTTTCTCTGTATTATTCTGGAGTATTTACCTTACAACATAAAGCGACTGTTGTGATTTGACAGTAGATAAATAAAACTGAATTAGATTGACATGAAAAATTAAATTGAACTGAATCTGAGGTTTAACTAATGGATGGAGTCTCCTCGTCCAATACTCTGACATCAACCTTCCCGAGGAGGCTGAGGAGTGTGAGCTGTACGCTCAAAAACACTCTCCATTCCCCTCCTTGAATAAAGATGGAAATGAAAATTATCAACCTACCGAAGACCAAACTCTCATTCCAGCAACTCAACATGGCACTGGGTAGTATTTTATATGGCCCCCACACTCTTGTATGTAACCTCAGCAGGGTCCAGGTATCAGCTCATGCTGTCAGTAGTGACCCTGGACAAATGCAAACTAGTAAAGAAAATGGTCAGAAAAAAATGTCAGTGGCCTCCACAGGTTAAACCATTCCTGTTTGAGAGTCGTGTCATTGTTGGGCCTTTGGTGCACACGAGGCACCAAAGGCCATCATTAACACCAAAGTAGCTGAAACAGATCAACAACGCATTCTGCTAAATATTCTGATTAAAAGGTGTTCCTGTAATTGTTTGAAGCAGTGTAATGCTGTGAATGCTTTATTGTGATATACAGGACATTCATTGCTTAGATGCAGTATATTGTGCTGAAGAAGCCAAGACCATCCAACTCCATTCAGTCTACAAATTGCATAAATAAAGAAATTAAATCATGTAAAAAATAAAACTGTGGGCACTGATGTCAGTCTAGTGTTTAAAATATATGAATCACTCTGTCTGAAGTCTATGTATCACAAGGTTATGTAATATTTACCTGGACTGTTGATGCTTTCTGTTTACAGACAGCACTGCTGGAATTACATATTTCCACAAGCAAAGCCAATAACTGAAAAATGTGCCATATGAGCATTATATCAAATCTGGGATTGGGGTTGTTGTTGTTGTTGTTTTTTCAATCCTACCAGCGTATGTCAGGAATCTTCAAATCCTGGCTTCCTGAATAAAAACATCAAACTTTCATGTATCTGTGAAGGTTCATTCATATGTTTTTTTTATTTGCAGCACTGGTTCAAGGAGAAACCTTGGAGGACATTTATACCCACTGCAAACAGGTCATAGAAGAACATTCAGGACCCTATATCTGGATCCCCTCAAAGGAGAAAGTATAATAGCTCATTATGCTGGAAGGCAGTCTGGACTTTTAGGATCTAGTAATATGAAAACTGTTTGGCAACAAATAGTGTTTATAAATACATATTGTGAATAAGTTGGCTTTTTTTATTTGTTCATTTGATCTTGTGTTTGATTATTGTTTGTTTTTCACTTAACCTAAATGTTCCTGAATGTAAACCACAAAAATGTTATAAAGTTTTAGCTCACAAAGTATGTATATTTGCTTTTTTCTTATTTAAACAAAAAGGATAAAAACAAAATAGATTTGGGATATATAGCTGCATTAATACAAAGTGGAAGGTGGCATGTACGGTGCAGATATCTTTGCTTTGTCAGCAATGGAGAGAAACCCAGTGACTGGACTTTGACATCCTTACTGGCACTGCACACTGCAACTAGTAAATACTGCTGAACACTGCTTTGCTTTGTGTTTATTTACAGTATCATTTCTACCTTAAATGACTACCTTCACTCTTTTGACATGACACTAAACATTTGTGAGAAAACTTTTGTTTCTTGTTGTCGGCGGGAACATTTATCCAGATACTGCTGTGCCAATGCTGAATCAAGAAAGACAGCTGTTTAGACTTCAGAAAGCTAATACTTTATTTTCCTAATAAAATCGCTTCCAAAAGCAGAGATTTATTTGCTGTAAATTCAACTGGGATTCAAAAGTCCTTTATAGAACATATTTAATTTAAGAGATTAGTGTAATGTGATCTATGGAGCTTGGAAAGAAAAGCAACTGGACTTCTTTAAGTTTCATGAAGACATTTCACTTCTCATCCAAGAAGCTTTTTCACTCCTAAACCAAACAGTGGAGAGTCTCGGGTATTTAAACCCTGGTGGGAGTTGTTGTATGTATGTAGGGGCAATGAAGAAGGTGCCTAAGAAGTACAGGAACCTGTCCATACCTGAGGCCTTGGAAACTGGAAAGCAAGCCTTGGCCAGCCGCTTGAGGAGGTACACCAGAGAGATCGAAGGCAGGAGAATAAACCAGCTGTTCTCCACAGAACCAGCCAAGGTGTACTCTCAGTGGCAGGGGAACAATATGAGAACAGCACCACCAAGGCTGGAGACGGAACAATACTGGAAGAGCATATGGGAGAAGGACACAACCCATAACAGCAATGCTCAGTGGCTAGTAGATCTGATGGCAGACCACAGAAACCTCACTTACAGGGTCCAGTAACCATCACAGTGGCAGACATCCAAGCAAGGGTCTCCAATATGAAGAGTTGGACAGCACCAGGCCCCGACATGGTTCACGCCTACTGGCTGAAGAAGCTGACTGCACTCCACAAGCCCCTGGCAGCACAAATGAACCAGCTGCTAGTTGACAAGAGACACCCGGAATGGCTAACCGAAGG